GTCGGGCGCAAATGTGAGTTGTGCCTGACAATAACAACAACAACCCAATCCGACCACTTGTCTCCGGACGGATTAGGTTTATATTTGGACTAAAATTAAGTCTGGCCTTGAAATCCAGGGCAAGGTCATTAATATTGACAGGATTTATATAAATCCTAAAACGTTCGGTTTGGGTTGTATTTTTTACTTTCTCTGCTGGAAATTGTTAGCATTCATTTGCCAGTTGTTCCAAAACTTTCCATGAAAAAAAAAAAACTTATATTTGGATAAGTTTTCGCTTTTGTAGTTTTTTTAGCACAAAATCATGAAGTAATGTTTTGTGTTTTTGCTATGAATTTTGTCACACCTATACCAAGAGATTTTTCCGATGTCCGCCCTCTAGATATGGATGTGGGAACAATTTGTGAATTTAGGAGATTCGGAGTGTTTCAAAACAAGTTTTTGAAATTAAAAGCATAATAAAGAAGTGTTTGTATCATGTTATTTTACCTTATGTGACCGTAAATTCTATGAGTCAATTGTTTATTTATTAAATTTTTATAATATAAAAATGTCATATGACTCATAGTTGTGACATGTGGTATATATTTGGGTTTCTAGTAGATAAGGGCAACTTTTTGCCCTTAATATTAATAAAAAAATAATATTTTTAATAACTAAGATAGGATAGCTTTTATGGAAAAATATCAAGAAAGGGCACTGTTGCTCGTCTTCCTCCTCTACCTTTGTATTCGTGGTAGGTTAAGGTTGTCGATAACAACTATAACCAGAGTCCTTAGGAGAAACCCTGTTGGGCAAAATCAAAGGCGGCACAATGGAATGTCTTCTTGTTTCTTTAGTCAAATGACATTAACAACCTTAGGATCCTAGCCAACCTCAAACCTAAATTGTGTGTGTGTGTGTGAAACTTATTTCTATAATTATAAAGGCTCCAGTTGCTCCAGTGGAGACTACAACGAAGCAAAAGGAATTTATTGTGTGTGTGTGAAACTTATTTCTATAATTATAAAGGCTCCAGTTGCTCCAGTGGAGACTACAACGAAGCAAAAGGAATTCATTTATAGGTCAAGTGATCATGCTTCTACTGTCCAACTCACCCAAGTTCGTCTTTGCCTTCCTTAGTGCATCTTACCGTAGTGCCACCAACACAACAGCGAATCCCTTCTACACCTTGCCGGAGATCGCCAAACAAGTCAAAGACTCGAATGCCGCTGCCAGTTTGCTTTCTGGGACATGAAGAGTATTTCTGGTTATAACTTGAACGAAATCTTATGATCCATTTGCATGAACACAAGCAAGGAGGAGGATGAGCAAAGTGCCCTTTCTTGATATTTTTCCAAAAAAACTACCCTATTTTAGTTATTATATAAAAATATTATCTTTTATTGATATTAAGGGCAAAAGGTTGCCTTTATCTACTAGAAACCCTATATATTTTTCCATGTATCACATATTTTGCTACATAGCACATATTTTCTCATGTAGACTAGCTTGGAAAAATTACAAATACAAACATATAGAGTACAAAACCTTGTATTTTGTATTATTTTATATGTATTTGTAATATACATATTTGTATTTATATTCTTTCCAAAATTAACCGTATTAAAAATTTAATACATGACATATATTTTACTATGCATCACATATTTTGGCACATAACATATATTTTGTCAGTATGCCACATTTTGTCTATATGTGACAATTTTGCCACATGGACCCATGGCACATATTTCTGCCAAGTGGCAAAACTTATACATGACAAATTTTATGTGTATGTCACAATTTTACCACAGAATATATTTCTTCATACATGATAAATGTTGTCACATGTTATATATTTTGTTATATTCACAAATTTGCCATATATCATATTTATGGGCATCAAATATGGCGTATATATTGTCATTTAACAGGTTTATGCTTGCACCTTATGTATCATGTGAAAAACATATTTAGCCCAAAATTTGATTGTATTCTCTGAAAAAAATTCAATTGTGCCAAACAAAAGCATGAAATATTTCAAAACAACTATGCGCTTTTTTATTGTACAAATGTTCCCACGTCATATATTTTTTTATTGAAAATACATGTTTAGGTGGTATCCAAGCTGGTCGAGGATACCACGTGGCAAGTTCCATGGCCACCCTCTTCGGATTGCATCAACACCGTCATATGAAACTGTGTGATGAAAGAGTACGGTCAAAACGAGTGTTTCACACGGACAAGGAAGTCAACTCTGGCAAGAGAAGGAGAACCTTTGAAGAGTTCGACGAATAACCTCATCTTGACAACCCTATAAGCCTAATTCAACTAGGAGACCAATACTTGGCTGTAAATAAGTATTTCTCACTCGAGGTAAATGACTTTTAACTCCCCACTCATTCAACACCCTTACACACCACCTCTTTGGCTTAAAACAAGTTGGATCACTCTTATTTGCTCATCTCGACCCACCTCGTTACCTTACTAGCTTGAACATCGGAGTGCCTACCTGAAAATAACTCCCCGAGCCTCTAAATCTTCTTATAATTGTAGATCTCGATATACAAGTTCGTCTTTCCAATTCGGCCTCATCCAATTGATAGAATCATCTGATTTATCCTCAATTCAAAACACCTCGAATGCATCAATACTTACTACCAAAAAAACAAAGCATTATTTCCTGCTGCAACACAAAATTACTTTAAAACAAACAACCATAGCCTTAGTAATTATACATCCAATTACTTTGTTGGTACTTGGTAAACCCTTATCCCAATACGACATGATAGCTTTGGGTTTATTACATGCATTATGAGCTGGAATTACTTTTACTTGGAGTTTGTTTTTTTAGCTTTGCTTAGAACACGTGAATGTCGATGCTCTTCAAGGTTGCTTCTTGGTTGTTGCATGGATGAGCCAACTTCTTTGCCATTTTGTCTGTAATCGTGTAAATTTCCATATATTTTGATACGTATATATTCCTTTTCTCTTTTGTTCGCATTATAGAGCCCGTTTCATTCAAGAATAAAATTAGAGCGTCGGAGTAGGAAGGTTTGAATATTATTAAATTTAGTTGTCCTTGATCCCTAGGTAATCCTAGGATTCGGCGGATCTGGATCCTTTTTTTTTCTTGAAAATCCGATAAGATCAAGACAGTTCGTTGTGTTTTACTGTTTTTCCTTAAAAAGAGACCTGGCTGGCTTTGCAGTCGTCTTCGGACAGACCGGGTTCTATATCCGGGTTCCCTGCAGTCTGCCCAGAGAGAGAAGCAGATGCAATCGTAGCAGCACTGTTTGCTGCAATCCTAAATCCGGTAGTGAGCAATGACTCGATACTCTAATTAAATTTTCTTCACTAAAATAATAATGCCTTGGTCGTATTAATTGTGTTGATGGGATGTATAATTAATCACCGTTGATATTATTTGTTTTTTTATAGCATAAATGAAAAGAGCATAAGCATTGATTCAGCAAACAAAGGAAGAATTAGGTGTTGCTTTCATTGCAAAGGAAGCAAAGGAAAAGGAAAAGAGGCCTCCAACCAAAGCCCAACTCAAAAAGCAGCGACTAGGGAAGTGGCTTTCCATTCCATCCCACCGCCACGTGTTGTGCACATCCACACTCCCTCTGCCCTCTTCCTCACTCAACTCTCTCATTTAATTTTCTATCAAAAGCCCCACCAGCGAAGGAGAGCGATAGTTGAAAACTTGATATCAAACAAAAGCCGGACCTCATAACTCCGATTCCCATAAAACGCTTTTTGTAATTTCTACTCCAAAGCCCAAGGCCCAGACACAACCGCTGAGCTGCTGAAGCCCGAAGCTCAGAAGCTACTGCTCCCCTCTATGCCTGTTTTGGATAATTTGGGAAATCTGATTGGGAAAGCTCAACTGAAGAACGTGCTGACGTGCAGCCCCGGAAGCTGGAATCGGGATCCGATGATTCATTCCCAATGAATGGTACAAGAAGAACGACATTCCCAACTGTTGTAAGTTATGTGTTTTCCGAATCATTTTCTAATTTCCACATTAAAATAATCCAAATCGGCGAGAGCACTTCATTTTAAATCATGTCCGTCCGACACAGTCGTCTCTCGTGAAGCGAGCCCCTCTAATGAAGTTGTCAAGGTGATTGATGCATCGTATCACATGGACATGCAGTAGCAATGTGTGGTTCATGGGCTCACTGTAAAAGTTGGAATCTATTAATCCTAACGGTCAATGTGGAACATAAAGAATAGCTTCATAAATCGTCCGATTAGAATATGTGTATTATGCTCTAGTCAGAAACACGTATGACCTATTTCCTTCGTTTCATTTCTGATTTCACTAAGGTGGTCCCATCGGCGGCACAGGCACTTGCTAAAACTTCCCCTTTCCGAGAGGCTGAGAGCTCTGAGCTCCTCTCCGGTCTGTACCTGTTACAGAAGTGTTTGGTTGTAGATTGTACAACCGACCGACGAACACAAACGGATGGAGCCAAACCCAGATAAAACATACGGCCTCTCCGTCCGTGCTGTTTTCATGGAAACAGAGAGAAACCACTAACGTTTTCGCCGGCTTTATTCCTTCTTATTTTATGTATTCTTTTCCCCCACTGAGGTAAGTCAACTAGTCAACAAATTTACTGGCTTACTGCATTACCAGCGACGCGTTGGCGTTGCTTCCTGAATCCTGATCATTTGATTTCTGTGTTTGTCAGGCATTTGGTATTCACGACAGTCGTTGCTTGTTGTGGGTCCACCTAACTAATCCGCTCAATCAGTAGGGTGGGACCGGATACATCTTATCCGCTCACTCGCACCAACCACAGGTGATGGCAAATTGTAGACGGAGGTCTCGCCTCTGCTGTTGTCACTTGCACCAAACAAGACATCATCGATTCAAATTTTCTCTCTTTTGATTTGATTATCCCGAAATATTTTATTTCTCTCTGATAAATGAATAATATATAAATTGAATTTCGGACGCAAATCGGTCATTTTAGTTAATTAAATCCAGTCTATCGCACAGAGAGAGATCAGAGGGGTACGTGTAAACGACAAAATCGCGCTCCCATCTTTTTTTTCACCGTATACGGCTCGGCTCAGGCTTATTCGTTGGTCTCTAGTTACACCTACACAGAGACAGAGAGCCTCGGGAACTGAAGGTAGAAGAAGTAGAAGGAAAAGGAAGAACGAAGAAGAAGATAAGGAGCAGCAGCGACGCGACGTTTGCGTGGAACCCTCGCAGGTCTTCCTGGTTTCATCCAAAAACTAACGTTTCCAGTGCGTTTGGACCGAGACTTTGGTAGCTCAGGACAAACTGACGAGCTTCTGGTATAGATCTGCTTGCTGGTAAGAACAAATGCAGATGTTAGTATGTTACTCTGCTTCATCTTTGTTCGTTCTTGGAGCTCATTTTTCTGTAGATGTGCTTTCCCCATTTATTGGTTTTAATGCGAGCGAAAGTGGTAAATCTGTGCTATTTGGGGATTTAATGTGGTTTTCGTTGTTCGAGCTACGAATTTTGAGCTCTGCTACTTTTTTTGTGCTCTTGAATGCTGCTTTTTGGTCTTCTTTTCTGGAGAAACCTGATTTCTTGGAAAAGCTATGGCGTGGAAAGATAATGCCGGCTTGTATTCGAGTTTGGGAGCTTGAACGTCTCATGCTTTTCGAAGATTTTTCTCCTTAGACAGAATATCGCACCGATAAAAGCTTTTCTGTGTTTTAAATTATTCCTCATCCACTTTTCGTTTTCTGGTTTATTCTTTTCCGAGAACATTTCTCTGATGCTGAAACTTTTGCAAAGAACGACGGCTCGTCGACGTTCTATCTGTTTTTCCTGTCGTAACCCTTGAATCTACTGATTTCTTCCTCACTTCTCTCATACTTTGGTTCACATCGTAATTAGGATCCGGTTATCAGTAGTGGTAGCTGTTTTGAAGCAGGGGCCTGGATTGAAGGCCTTTGACGTACAGATTACAGAATCTTCCTCAAAATTTTTCCCCTGTAAATAAAAGCATAAAATGTGCTTCCATTCTTTCCTTGAAAGCCGTGCTTTCATCCTAAAAATTTCTCTCTGGTTTGTTCGTTTGAGCGGTTAGTGGTCATTCTTACGTTATGAGTGTTGAAGAATCAGCAAAGAAACTATGGTTGGACGGGGTCCCTTGAGTCACGGGGACTGAGAAGGGAGGCCCCGGAGATTACTGATTAGACAAAGCCTTCGTTCCCCTGTTCCCTTGGTCTTTCAAACTACAAAAAAAATGCCCCTACTTGCGAACAAAATGACCCTGTTCGTCCCGTGAGTGATGGATTGTCCACGAATCGACAAATGATAACCATTAGGGGCATTTTAGGAAATTTCCTTGCCCATTACCTTCTCCGTGGGCACCCGTGGTCGCAATGATGAATTTTGAACACTGTATAAGCAAGTACTGATGTTGGAGTAAATTGGAGAAAGAGGAAAAGAGGCTTCCGTTTGTGAATGAAAATTTATCTAATATCTTTATTTATTTTATTGATTCATTGATTTATTTCGGTGTGGTTTGGTGGAAGTAGTGGTGGTAGTTTCCGTGGATGAGTTTGTTTGAAGGGATCATGTTGTTTGCTTGGGTTGCTTGTACGTACTGATGAGGAGCGCTCCACCCATTTATTTCTTCATGTGCGTGTACGCCGGATTCCTGTGCCTGATGTTTTCTCAACTTGTGATTTCTCTGCATTGTTGCAGGCTTTTGTGGGTCCGGGAGCTGTTATAGTGAGTGAACTTTAATTTGCATTCTCTCCTTTTTGTTACCACAAGGGGTCGTAAAACATGCAGACACCAAAAACAAGGTAATTTTCTGATCCATTTCAGGCCTCTATCTAAGACTGTTTTGTGGAATCTAGCTACTGTATTTATGAGGGTAGGCCTTGAGTTCTATATCATTTGCTACGTCTTTAAATAATAGTAGGATAGGATCACGTTACACATGTGACCTACATGCTTTTCATGTTTAGAAAATTAGAATTTTAAAAGGCCACTGAAGCCATAGACCATATATTGATTTATAAACTCAAGGTGGTTTTTGTTTTTAATTTTTAACTATGGCCGTTTTATCAACTCAACTAGAAATTAATGACTGTGGTTTCTTTTCTTCGTTGTAATTTCTAAACAACCTTTTTTCTATTTTGTTTAAGTTGCTTTCCATGCCTGTTTGTTTTATTTTTGATGCTACTCTTTTGTACTTAGAAATAACTGAAGCACCTCATTGCTGGATATATAGTATGAATTGAATTTCGGTTGCTTCTTCAGTTTGAAAACATTGGAATCTTCTCCTTTCACTTGACATCTGCACATCCAGTAAAAAGCTACCGGAAATATGCAAGTGGAGTTAATTTCATGCAATCTAATATGGAGGTGTCTCTCTAAATTCTTGCATTTGTAAATTGTTCTAGGTCTTATTGGTATTTTATCGGTTTGTACTGATTTGAAGCCTCGATCCACCTTCATATGTTCCATAGAAGGCGTTGTGTGCATGTGTAGTGCTGAACATGTATCATTGTACCTCGCAAATTCCCTGTGCATCTTTTCACTCCTTATTGTATTCTGTAACTACCCTATGCATCTTCTTTCTTTCTTCATCATACCCATGTCTTGCAATGGACATGGTTTTACCAGTACATCAACCCACCTGGATCTAGAACTATTTTCCATGCTTTCTCTTGTTCCTATTAGTAAGGTTCCATGTCCACCATGGTTTACCTGTTGAGTAGTCCAATTAATATCTGGTCCCATTACTTTTATGAGTAAGGCCACCCTATAATCTGTATTCAACCCAAAGAAAAAAAAAAAAAGAGCCAGACGATTGTAGTAGTTTCCATTATGATTTGCAATGTACAATATAATAAATGTTTCAATTTAATTTATAGATCACGACTTGATTTCCAGATTTGAACTACAATGTCAGAGGAAATTTGTTTTAAACGTTCCATTAATTCCTTTGCATTTGATGTGATGAAGATTGCTGTCTCATTAATTATTAAATATACATTCTTCTGTTAATAGTCTTCTGATTATCATTCCACTGACTCTGAGAACAGAAGTGGCTCCTCAGAGGTGCCTCAGAGGACATCACAAGGGACTCCTAGAGCTGTCCGGCAACTCAAGACTCCTGGATCTGACTCTGATTCCGTTTCTTCAGCAACTCCAGTGAACAGGACACCAAAAGATAGAAGCCCTAAAGTTAATGAACGAAGGTCACCAAGAAGCCCTGTAACTGAGGTACTAATTAGCAAGTAGTAACTATAAATCCACCCATGTTCAAGGAGGAACTTACTAAAATGCCTTAATTGAACTGCCAACTTAAATGAAATATTTGGAACTTTGAGATTCTATAATCAAATGCATAGCCTTAACTGTGTTGTGATGAATGAAAGATGTGTAAATTCATCTCAATGTATAGAATGTGCAAAGAATGGGTGTCCCAATTATCGTAGGGCATAGTGAGGAAGAAAAATGCTAATAAATAATGCATTCATGCTACTCCATGAATTCCTTGCCCTACAGACAAGATGGGCCCCATGAATAGATATGTCTGCCTTTGTCTTTTATGTGCCTTTCCTTGAGTCTCACCATATCTGTGGTCATTAGATATCTGAAAAGTTGCATAATCCTTAGCAATTTTTCTATCATTATTCAAATTTTCTTCTTATGTTCAGGCAAGATGAAACTTTCATTTTTGTTCTTGGCTGTCTAAATTAACCTCAAATTGTACAGAAATAACCTTTACTAAACCATGTTTTCTCTTCTACTGAGAATATAGAAGAAGCGCCCAAGCAGAGTTTCTGAGTTGGAGTCTCAGCTTGCTCAACTCCAAGAAGATTTGAAGAAGGCAAAGGATCAGCTTACATCATCTGAGACATGGAAGAAGCGAGCTCAGCAGGAGGCAGAAGAGGCAAAGAAGCAGCTCTTAGCCATGACTGCAAAGTTCGAAGAGTCCCAGCAGCAGCTTCTGGACTTGTCTGCTTCAGAAGAAGCCCGAATCCAAGAACTCCGGAAGATTTCTCAGGAGCGGGATCGGGCATGGCAGTCTGAACTGGAAGCTGTTCAGAAGCAGCACTCAGTGGACTCAGCTACCCTGGTGTCTGCCATGAATGAGATCCAGAGGCTTAAGATCCATCTGGAAATGGTGGCTGACTCTGAAGCTGCCCAAACTAAGCGTGCTGAAACAGCACAAGCCGAGATCCAGAATTTGAAACAGGACCTGGCAGAAGCCCTTTCTCTTGTGGAGAACATGAAAGCTGAAGTCAAGGATTGCAAAGAATCTGAGGCTCAAGCCCAAGCACTGGTAAGCGAAACTTTACTAGAACTGGAAACTGCCAAATCAACTGTTGAGACGTTACAATCAGATAGCCTTAAAGCAACAGAGTCTTACAGTTCCCTAACTTCAGAGCTGGAGAAGTCGAGGGATCAAGTGAGTTCCTTTGAGGCACAAGTGAGCAAACTTCAGGCAGATCTGGTTAGTGCTAACAGCAAAGTGTCAGTAGTAGAGAATTCATGTGATGATAAAGGAGAAAGTGAGAAAGGTGAGGAGATTGCAGAATCAAATGAAGTCAAGGTGGAGCTTAATTCTCTGAAGTTAGAGGTGGGACAACTGAAGTCTGCCTTGGAAGCCGCTGAGATCAGGTGTCAGGAGGAACAAATTCGGAGCACAATGCAGATTCAAAGTGCCTATGAACGAGTGGAACAAGCAAAATCTGAATTTAGCCTGAGGGAAGCTGAACTGGAGGCAGAACTAAAGAAAAGTATGGCCTGTATTGAAGAGTTGAAGGCGAACCTGATGGATAAGGAAACTGAATTGCAGAATATTTCCGAGGAAAATGAAGGATTGAATATTAAGATCAAGATGAACCAGTCCAGGGAGAGGGAATCCCAACTGGAAATGGAACTGACGAAGTCCAAAGCAGATGTAGAAGATTTGAAAGCAAACTTAATGGACAAGGAAACAGAATTGCAGAATATATCTGAAGAGAATGAGATGCTGAAGGTGGAAATCCAGAAGGAAATAGAAGGGAGTAAAGCTAGAAATGAGGCCATTGCCGAGGCAGAGGCTGCTAGGACTGCAGAGAAAGAAGCTCTGATGAAACTTGGTTATGCAACCGAGGAGGCAGATAAAAGCAGCAAGAGGGCAGCAAGGGTAGCAGAGCAGTTGGAGGAATCTCAGGCAGCAAATTTGGAAATGGAAGCAGAGTTGAGGAGGTTGAAGGTGCAGTCGGACCAATGGAGGAAGGCAGCTGAGGCAGCTGCTGCAGTTCTTTCAACTGGGAACAATGGCAAGTTTATGGATAGATCAGGGTCTTTGGACAGTTACCATCCTGTTGGGGATATGGGTTCACCTTATTCAGAAGATCTAGATGATGACTCGCCCAAGAAGAAGAACAACATGCTGAAGAAGATTGGGGTGCTGTGGAAGAAGGGCCAGAAATAAATGGACCTCATGGTAAGCATTAGGTTGAGAATTATTTTATTTTTCATATTTTTTTTCTTTTTTGGTATCTTACGACAGAGTTCTTTCTCTTACAGGTTTTTTTGTGAGTAGGAGAAGCTGAATTCCATTACTGGGCATTTGGGCTACTTTGTAAAGCTTAAACCGGAAAGCTTTTACCCCCCCCCCTCCCTCTCTCTCTTCTGCGGAGGAGTCAGCTAGATGTGGTAAATATTTGTTTTAATCTTTTAGAGAATTTTCGCTTTAATGGTATGAAAAGATTGTCTGTCAGTGTTGTTCCATTATCCAGCATTATTAAATATGAAACGGAAGGTAGCTGGGTCCTCAGCAACAATCTATCTTTATTTGTATTATGAGCTTGGTTTTGGGAAGTTTCTTTTGGGCGTATTCTCTGAAGTCTGTACAGCCTCTTGATTAAATTTACCTAAAAATCTGTTTCACGGTACTGTCAAGGACATTTGCTTTAACTATGCCTTGTATACTTTGTGAACTGAGATTGCAGACCTGAAAATAACAATCTGTAACAAGTACTACGATAGAAATGGTTCTTGGTTTCTGAAGAACCAGATGTCAATAGGAATTCCACGCCGTTGAAGTTTTTGAATTGAGATTGTTACGCATTTGGCAACTGCCAAACCAATGCGTTGGGGAAGATGGAATTCTGGGATCACAGATGGGGGGTTGTCGTCTAATTACGCATCATTGTAGAGTTTGCAGAGAGTCTGGATCTATTTACCACAACACATTGTTGGCCACATTCATCCCGCCACACATTGGGAATATCGGTAATATAAAGTACAAGAAATGTTTCCAATGTGCGGGCAATGTTCAGTTGGGTGAACGTGGCCAGCAGATCTGTACTCGTCTGCAGGGTGCTTTACAGCACAGGAGATGCCTTTAAAAGATTTCGAACAAGTTTAGAATAATTTAGCAATGCCAGTTAAATTCTGATCTCTCATGCTCCTCCAAATTTGGTTTTTGATTTCCCCCCAGAGAATGTCTTAGACCAACGGATTGCTCTCGAATGTGCCTTGATGTAAAACAAGCCAAGATAGGCAAAGCCACTGTGGTCCAACTTTCTTCCGTTCAAAAGATAAGGCTTCTTTGAAACACACTTCTGTCTAACTTCAATTAATTCATACCTTTTTCTACCCAAAAACAGATCAACTCGTGCCTTTGGCTGTCTTTCCGATTCGAGAAGGTGAAACCACATAAAGCATTTATGTACATCATCACCATCTTCCAACTGGGTAAGCTCCATACATGGGGAGTTCACATTTGCTCAGGGTTAAGCCTTCTTGAATTGTAGCTGTCATTACATTGCTGTGGCCTCACCACCAATTATCACAAGTTCCGTAAATAAATACCTCTATTAGCATTCCATCGGAAATGGACAGAAAATATTACATTTTTAAATGCTCAATTTACCATTTTGGATGATATTGTCCTTGTCTTCTTTATTTCATATTTTAGGATGAAAAAGGAACATTTTTCCCTTGATACATAATCTCATCAAATTGGATTTGGCAAGTAGCAGTACAAAAGGAAAGCTTAGGTGTTTATTGAAGGAATGCTTGCTAGCCGAGGTATTTATTTGATTAACTTCGTAATAGTTCAAGGGAGAATCTGACACAAAATGAAGTTTAGATAATTAAGGCTCGGTTAAATATGTCAGTACAAATATATATAAGACAATACAAAATATAAGGTGTTGCACTGTATTTCTACACCTTCCAAACTAAACTTAAGTGAAACTCTCCATAGAGTAGATGGGGGTTTACCCTGTTCCAACTACATGTTCCAAACTAAGCTAAAGTGAAACACCTCCATAAATGAATCCCCTTCCGTTTTTTCATTCCACTAGACATGACATCTATTTATACCATTGTTCATTTCCCACTGAACTTGGACTACAGTGTATCGGGAAAATTTATGATGCGGGAAAGACATGGTATGGGAAAAGTTTTGACTAATCAAAATCCACCCATGAAATCCCATTCCAACTGATTCTATTTCTTATTCCGATTTTTGTTTGGACCAAACAGAATATAGGAAGCCAGTGTGGGCAATTGCCCCCCACTCAAATATAATAGTAGGGGGTCAAATGAAATTTGACTTTTTAATTGAAGTCTTTTTTAATGATTTTAAAAAGACTAAGAGGTAAAACCATAAGGTATGCCCCCACTGATTAAAGGTCCTAGATCCACCATTATATACCATTCCGATTCCGATTCTGACTGTGAAACAAATGGACCCTTAAACATATACGTAAAGTAACAGTTAAACCCATGTTCGTAAAAATTTAACAAAAGTTTCAATGCTGTGCCCATTGAATGCAATCCTCTTCTTTTTATGTAACTAACTTTATTTATGCATAACAAATGGTTCAAGGGACTACACAATAGACTTATTCATGGGCGGGGCTCGGACTTGATTGTTGTCGATATTTAAATGAACCCGGCCCAAAATATGAGCCCAATACGAACTATATGTATGCCTAAAACCCAGCCTGTGAACAGGTCCCCCACACAACCCGCCCGGGGGTAGCCAATCTCCAAAACTCTCTGCTACAACTAACCAAAGAACTTATCAATTGAGCCACCATAGATGCAAATTATATATGTATAATAACATGCAACCGTCCTATTTTATATGAACCTTGGCAACTAGTTCCTCTTCTTCCTACCATCGGTTATAATACAAGACCTAGCCAAAACAAATTAGGCATGATTGGAAATTGGTCAACCATTGGACAAATTCCATTTTTTATATCATTGTCTATAAGAGATCCTTAGAAAATATCCCAGCCTCAATTTCTTACTTTTCCGCAAGGTTATGTTTGGTCTGATAAACTAAGAGAGAAGCATAAAAGTTGAGAGAAAATTCATTTAAAAATTGTAAAATTCATTAAGATCTTTTCTTGTTTTTGTTTTCTATCAAATCAAACACAATTTAAATGATAAATGATTTATTTCATGAGGTTCAGAAATCAAAGCCTACTTCAAATCTCATCGATTTTGGTTAAAGAAAGCTTGCCTGAGGGGTCCTTAAATACAGCTTATGTGGCTGAACCGAATGTGCAGTGAATAAAATTCAAGTGGTTGTGACTTGTGAGCTCCTTGATGGCTGCAGCTGAAATTGAGTGGATCAACATCAACGTTTAATTATATTTTTGCAAAAAAAAATAAAATAAAACGTTTAATTATATTTTATTCGCTAAAAGACAAAACAGTAAATTCATTCAGTTCGGGCACTTGGGTCGTTGTCAATAGATTAAATAACCATGCATGTTACCATGAGATAGTTCATGCAATAATATATTTTGGAAAGCTCTTTTGGTTAAATGCAATAATCTACATGTCAGTTTCATTTATTGAAAGCGTTTCAATTGTTTCTTTTTTATGGAATTTTCTGCCAATTTCTGAAAAAAAAAACTGCCATTTTTTTTTCTGAACTGGGTCAGTCCTAACATGATCCTAAGGTCAATCCTCACAATCTCCAACTGTTGACGACTCCATCATAAAAATAAGTCGGGCCAACTTATATCGGGTTGAGGTCAATCCTAACATGATCCAATACCCCAATAATCCAACCTTAAAATCAAGATTCAAATTATCAAAATGCGTATTGGCCTGTGTCGGTGTTTTCTTAATATTTTATTTATTTATTTTTTTAAATTGGTTTAAGTTTTGATTACTTTATAAACTATGGTCTGACTTGATACAACCTCTGTAGGAATGCATCGGGAAGCTACCAGCACAATATGTATTGGCCAATACTTATCTATGCTTTCAACTTTGCTTAAAACTTTAGGTTGAGTTCAGGTTGGTCTCAGGCTAGTTAGACTTATTTGCCAAATGTACTTATTTCTTAGATTATGAGGATTCATGTTAATTTAATATTAGCATTATTATGTGTAAAAGAACATAATTATCATATATTTTAAATTTAAAAATTTTGACATAATTTATAGATAAAATACATGTATAAATAAATACTTATAATAAAATACACGTAAATATATAAAAATATACACTTATAGATGCATGGTCGCATATTTATACTTACACGAATGAATATGTATACACATGTAAGTACTTACTTGCATAAATTCATATTTATATAATATTTATTTATATATGCAATATGAAGTTAGGTCAGGTTTGGGTTCGATCAGGTTGATTAAGGCCATAACCCTAACCAGAACCCAAACTTCGGCCTTGGGTTGGGTTCGGACCAACCCAACACAAGTTGCAGCTTTAATCAGATTAGATATTGGGAAAAAGTCGCATGGTCTATTCAAAAGTCCAGGTTATGGGCTTCCCTAACTTGAACTTACAATGAATTGGGATCACCTGCTAACAAAAGACATTCAAACACTCTCCCAACATGATCTGACACCATACATCTCACCATGAGCATAAAAGTGGAACTTGCTAAATGAAAAGTGTGGTGTCAGATCATGTTGGGAGGGTATTGAAACGTCTTGATCCAGACTCACCTGCAGTGGGGGAAAACACGGCTAATAGCTGGTCCTGGTCAGGCCCGTGTAGGCCCAGGTTCTGGGTTACATTTCAGGCCCAGGGTGTTGGCAAGTGGCAACAATACCCTACAGCCCCACATTCGGAACATCACCTTAATTCTTGAAGACAGGGGAGATATTCCTGATGTGCGGCTCTGGTGTTTTATCACATTTTTTGTACACCCAACACAAGATGCCCCCTGTTATCCCTTTTGTTATGGTGCCAAGTCGATATCTGCAGACCACAAAACAGTGGAAACAATATCCTACAGCCGCACATTCGGAACATCACTTTTACTTTATGTCGCAATTGATGAAGACCTTCCTGATGTGCGGTTGTAGTGTTTATTACATTTTTTGCACATCCAACACTAAGAGAGCAACTGGGCAATGAAAGGGTAGAATTGGATCTTGGAAAAAAAATAAACCGCACCTGATGTCACATGCTAACGGATCTTGGACGGAATATTAATATAGGGGAAACTTTTTTGTGGTGACGTCACTACGAGGGTAGGTGTTAATCTAATTTGAGAGGTGAAGGGATATTTTAATATAAAATGGAAAAGTCAAGGGAGGTTTAAGTCATTCTCTGGAAAAAGAAGGGAATGGTTACTGGTTAGGGATTTAGGGGTCCATTTTAACTAACGGAGTGAGTCATAGAGGACCTGGGGGACAGGTGTAAATTACATGTTGTTAGCATAATGTAGGGTTGATTTAAAATTTTAGAAACATTTAGGGTTATTCTATAATTTCCTCTAATTAAATAGGGCATGCAAGTGTATATATAATGCAAGGTTTAGATTAGGGTTTCCTTCGGCGTTTTCTTCCTCTGCGTCTCTGAACTTTGAAGCACTCTAGCCTCCGTCACAGTCGAAGAGCCTTATCCTCCAGTCGCCATGGGGTAAGAACGTTTCTTCTCCTTACTTTATGACTTGGCTTTCCGTGAATGCATCTATCCCCTTATCTTCATTTTTAATATTTCAGTCAAGCAATGAGTCTTGGCCTCTGTGTTATTAGCACTGTGAATCATGAATCGGTCTTCAATACAACTATAGAGGAAAAATAGAAAGTTTTAGTGCCTCCTGATCATCTCAGTACAATAGTTTCTGGTTAAAGTTAGCTGAGTAAACGTGTTTGTGGTATCGATGTGCCCCAATCACAGTTCACATATGTCTTCAAGTTTGTATGAAATCTCGTGTTAGCTCCATACCTCCATGGGATCAGTCGAGTTATTCTAGGGGACTCTGTTAACATGTCTGTCATGTGGTTATCGTTATTGATAAAACTCTTCCTGTTGCCCACCCATAGCAATTGGGGTATCTCTATGATTGTGAATTCCTGGAGTGTTGCTTCCAGACATGATAAAACAGAGGGAAATATTTGCAGCCTAAGTTTGGTTACTTTATTGATGGGCAGCTTCCTTTTGGTTTCTTGAGATATATAGGAGAATGGTAAGGAAATTTATTTTGGGAAGTTAGGTGTGATTCTATTGATTTTCATTGAGGCAAGTCCAGGTGTGAATTGTTTATAAAGCAGTGATATTATCTGCTACAGTTTTAGGTTGTTTTGGTACCATTGCACTGATCAACCCAAAACGTTTCTGATCATGTTACATGACAACTCATATTTTAACACCAATTTCTATTTATCAACCCTAAACTTTTCAGCAAGAAACAACATTTGTACAAAACACAACCTTAGAATTTAAAGTAGTCATTGACACGTATTGGAGTATGTCCGTCCTTGATTAAGTGAGCTTTATGAGCATAAGCTTCACAGATCAAGCCACAGTATCATACATTCATAAACTATACAAAATGTTTGATGCAGGAAAACTCGGGGAATGGGAGCTGGTCGCAAGCTCAAGTCCCATCGCAGGAGGCAAAGGTGGGCCGATAAAGCATATAAGAAATCCCACCTTGGCAATGAGTGGAAGAAGCCATTTGCTGGGTCTTCCCATGCCAAAGGCATTGTTCTTGAAAAGATGTAAGGCTCTAACTATGTGATTCTCAATCTTGGTTTTTTTTTTTTATAAAACTGACTTGAACTGTTTGCACAGTGGAATTGAAGCTAAGCAGCCAAACTCTGCCATCAGAAAGTGTGCTCGAGTTCAGTTGATAAAGAATGGGAAAAAGATTGCTGCCTTTGTGCCCAATGACGGTTGTTTAAACTACATAGAGGAGAATGTGAGTTAAATTTGAGAAAAAAAAAGAATAAGAAAACTCTGTTCAAACCTCTAAAGAGATGGAAGACAAAGAAAAACTGATTCTCTCCATTTGCTTTGTGAACCTGAAGTACTGATTAATGTGTTTGTGCAGGACGAAGTATTGATTGCTGGATTTGGACGTAAGGGGCATGCCGTGGGAGATATTCCTGGAGTTCGATTCAAGGTTGTTAAGGTATCTGGAGTATCTCTCTTAGCTCTTTTCAAGGAGAAGAAGGAGAAGCCAAGGTCCTAAGCCAAGGAAAAACTTCTCTTTACTTGCTGAGTTGTAGGATTAATGCGAAATTTCATTCCTTTGCTCATTTTCAGAAAAGCTTGATGGAGATGGTAGTTTGGATTTTCTGAACAATATTTTTTCTGTCGTAGTTCTATCCGATACAATCCCTCTCGGTCGTCTTCTTCCTTTTAATGCCTTGAATCTGTTATTTCTAGTTTTCAATTGATGGATAAGATCGGCTTCATTTTATTTTCTGTTGCTCGGTGCCCTGATTATTTCTTAAAAGTTTTCTTAGCTTTGAAACTTACCAAATATTTGATGACTAAGGCGCCATTAACTTACTCGTGTATAGATATTGTGCCAAGATCGTTGTGGCCAAGTTTACGGTAACGAGCTACTTGTTGGGACCTAGTTCCTCGTTGACACCTCCTATCACTCCTCACCTGTTTTATTACGACATCAAAACACGTGCCATTTAGCTTCTCTAGTTGGCAACATCAAGAACACGTGGTAATCAGTATTCTTACTATCTTGATCTTGCCACTTGTTCGCCAAGTAGTTGAGCATCAACTGTAATTATAAATGCCTCATGTATCCAAAAAGATATTAATGAAGGCTTTTTTCTTTCCTCTGGTTCCAAGTTACGTTAGAGCCACTGCGCTTTCGAGGTTGCGCTGAAGTTTCTCACTTCATCGCAGGTTGGTTTGATCTCATCGCAAGTTTCGCAACCTCTCTTCATCGCAATTTCAGATTTTGTCATGTTTTGGACAAATACGTCGATATAAAATTTCAAATTGTTTTGAAGTTGTCAACTGGCTCAGCTGCTCAGTTGGAAATGTCTCACTTTTTAGTGCGGTATTATGCTACATTTCGCATTTCTTATTTTAATCATTTAAATAATAAGGAATGTCAAATGCAGAATTGCAGACTTACTGTTCATTGAATCCTGCATTCATCAAAAGTGGAGGATATCGGTTTTGTGGATGGGTCTCCTCGTGTGTTAGCCCCATGGAACCCCAAAACTTAGAACCACTCTAAGCTATATTTGATTCAACTCATTAATATGGACAAGAATGGGTAAAATTGAATAGGATAAGAAAATAGTGTATGAACAAACACTTCTATATTAAAAGTGATTTTTTTTTCAAATTGGTCAGTGCCTTAGTTATATCCATCCTTAAACAAACTTGTCTAGTGGTCATAAACTGACAACCTAAGTTTCCAAAATTGTCGCCTTGATGTTTACTAGTGGATGGTCCGTTCGATTGGCATAAGTTTTCATGATAGTTAACCAATAAACATTAATGTTGGTGCCAAGGTGTTATGTAAACCAATAAACATTAATCGTAGTGGTTTTGTAGACCTTGGGTGGTGAACTGGTGATTAATGATCGAACGAAAATAATTAAGATGGGGCATGATTGTTTTTCATGTTACAAGATGTCTCAATATTTGTGTTATGGGCAAAGTTTAAAATATCGTAACCGTTTCCATAAGAAACCGATACATGGAACATGTAAAATTCATGTGTTCCGTATCTTTTCGTATGTATCGGCCGATATGGATCTGTATCAGGCCGTTTCGGATCTATATCGGACAATACAATCCCGAAACATACCGATACAAACCGAATCATTTCGATTTCCCTTGTTCAATTAATCTATATTTAATACCGAATATCTCTCATTAATGTCTTTTATTATTTATCTATTTAAGTCTAACTTCTTCATTAATTAGTTAATTACTCCTATATTTAAGGCAAATTTAAATTTAAATTTGAATTTTAGTGCCTAAATATATATCTCTCATTAATTCTATTAATTAATGACTCTCTCTTTCTCTCTCTCATTAATTTCATTTTGTTAGTGTAAAAGCTACAAATATTTACAATAGCGAGACTCGAACCCTAGTCACCAAATTTTAATGCACTTAATTTCGCCACTAAACCAATCCAATTTGTTTAGTGTATTTACATGTATTTTTAGTTTTAAGTCAATTATTTTTCTTTTCTTAGTGGTGCTTATTAATAAATGCTGAAATTAATTATTAAAATTTATATATTAATAAATATTATGATAATTATATCGGTTATTTGAAAATTGATGTATATACATTTATATTTTAGTTTTTTTTTGTTTTTTTTTCACATTTTAGTTATTCCATCATTTTTCAACGGCTACTAATTATGTATCGATATGTCACATTTTATATAAAAGTTAAATTATGGTTTTTTACATTTAAATGATTTATTTACAATCATATAAAATTTGTAAGCATTGTTAATAATATATTTTTTATGATTTTTTTGAATTTCTTAACATATTTATGCGTATCCAAAACATATCCCAATATCTCTTAAAATTGACTTTCCAATACACCTTGCGTTTCCGATACTTTAAACCTTTGTTATGGATTGATTTTTCATTTCGAAAATAATGAGCCCTATGATAAGAATTTTGTAGACTTAGGGTGGTGATTAATGATTATTGGCATAGGATTTTTTTAAAGAATGAAAATAAATTAGATGGGGCATGATTATTTTTCATATTGCAGGTCTCAATTTTTGTGCTGAGTTGATTTTTCATTTTTAAAAGAATGAGCCCTATGCTATGACAAGAATTTTGTAGCCAAATACTCTAATAAGGCACAGAGCAACAAACCAAATATGACCTAAATTAGTCAACGTAGTTGCACACAAGATAAGCTCTTCGTGACTGATCTGAGTTTTAAACTTTGCAGCTGCACCTTTCCAGGGGATTACAATTACAATGATATCTACCGTATTTTGTGCCTTTTGTACGATAATTAAGGGCACGTCCACATAATCAATTAATCACTTTATTCAATATCTAAACAAATTTAATTGTTTAAGCATCTTATTGCATCTGTTGTTTAATAAGCAAGGTGCTAGCTGGCTGGTTGGTAAAGACTTGGCACGAAGGTTGGGTTTGGGGGAGGGATGATTATGGGTTCGAGGATGGGCTACCCCGTTGTATAGCCCCATGGAGCCCAAAAAATGTTTAATATGAAACTGTTGTTTACATTTATTTCTATATTTTCAAAGTACTGGGTAAAGACCCAAAACCTGAAACTGGTTTGGACTTTGATTTATCTAAGTGATGATATAATTCAAATTATTGATAATCTCGATACTCAATTTTTGCACTAAGTTCAAAATATTGCAACGTCCCTGTGGTTGCAAAATTTGCACGACCATTCCAAGATCAACAATGCATGTTATATTAAGCGTTTAAACTTTAAGATTTCAATCATTAATCATTAATAGCTAACATTCACTTTCCACTGTCAACCTGTCAACGGAAAAATTAAGCAAGAGTTTAGATGGTACAAAATTCTCAGATACGCAAAAATCGAGCATCAATATTTTGAGCCTTGCAAATGACCCACTTGGGTTCTCTTTTGCGGAGACCTCAGTATTTTACTCTATTTTACTTCTACAAAAAAAGAGCCAAACATGAAGCAGAAGCAAACCAGAATTACAACGATCCTACTTGCACTTCCCATGTATTTACACTGGTGCAACGCAAACTCAGCCATAGGAAATAACAAAAAAAGGGAAAATCTCTCGGCATAGTTAAAGAAATCGACGTTGAGGTTCAGCTCCAAACTTCGTCCGTTATGCTTTGTGTTTTTCTTTTAATTCCGTTGGGATTATTATTACCATCAAGTTGTAAAAGAGGACCCTTCTTCACCACCATAACTAGAAGCTCTTTCACTGCATCCACATTCAGATGAAAAGTTGTTGTACGCCTGTTCTAATGATCTATACTTGTTCAACATGAAACAAATTTTCCTTCCCGTCAGAAATATGACGTCCATGAAGTTGTTCAAGACTTGTGTCAATAGCGAATACATGCCCCTGCCCCTTGCTTGCTGCAACCAGTTTACTCTTCAATTTATCTTCGCTTCCATTTTCTGCAATGAAACCAGAAATTAAACCCTGTGTAAATCTCAGGCAGTTCTTCAATTTCACTAGTTTTTTATCAGTTCTCCGTACCATCTCTAGAAGACACCTGAACCTCTGAGGATACGCAATGACGATCATCTGCAGGCGCTGAAGTACCAGACAACTTAGGTGAAGCCTTTGATGATTCATGATGGTGCGATGAAGATGTAGACTTCATGCCTAACGTAGTAGGGTGTAGCATTCCAGCATGCTGGATCCCAGGGCCTCTTACCGTATTTGCAGGCTGAATCTTTCTGGGTTTTGTCTTAACAACACTCACGCTAAGGTTACCAATTCCAGGTCCTTGTTTGGGCAAACCACTTCGTACTCCAGAATGAAATTGCAGACTTCCACTGGAAGTGCGCGCCAAGGATTTCTCCTGAAAAATTAAGTGAATTTTACCTTGGTGTATACTTTCCTAGAAAAGCAAATTCAAATTCACATATTGCGAACAAGGAAAATGAATACAGCATGGAAGAATCGAGCAAAAACTAACCGCATCAAAAAATCCAATTTTTGGTGATGGCATTCTAAGACCAGAGGGCTTAGCACTTCTAGAAATATCATTGGAAATTGAACGAGAAGGTATGCCAGTTACCAAGGAAGCTTTCTTGGCACACTGACTTGGCAATGCTGATTCATGATTCTCTAGCTCTGGAAGAGGCTGATCGTGTACATTTTTCTGCTGGTCTAATGCGTGAGGGGCATTAGCATCAAGAGAGAGCCCTCTGTGAGGAGAACCAATGTCAATACTGGCCTTTGAACAATTGGATCTTTGGTTGACAGTAGAAGTTGATGAAGATGATTCTGTAGACCACCCATCAATAGAGCTGGCAGGTGATATGCTCGAAGAGCGCTTAGACACAGACATCAGATAGGCTGAGAGACGAGAACTTTCAGATGTAGTTTTGTTTCTAGATGAAAGCTTCAGAGGTGTTTTGATGGTTGAACCTGAGGAAGCTGGATTCATATTTCTAGACTGAATTTTGTTCCTCCGGGAGTTGGGGGGAGACTTTCCAATAGAATCAGATGAAGTGGTACCAGATCTACTGCTGGAGGAACAAGAAGCTTTTGACTCCACTTTTGTTGTGGCAGAGGGAGAAGAAACTGAAGAAGGTTTTGGGGATGGTGTACACCTAGGGGTAACACTGCAAGGAGCAACTAAACCAGGCTTCTTGGATGGCATAGCAGATGCTCCTCTAGCTGCAAATGTAACGAGTTCAAAGTCAACTAGTTAAGTATCAAAAAAGGCATGTTCATGCATCTGGAAGACAAATTAATCTGTATTGATGGAATTCATTTTACCTGATCCAGCTTTAGCCGTAATGCTTTCCACCTTTGCACGATCCAAGGATGTTCTTTTTGTTGGTGCTGCTGAGGTGGGGTTGACATTCCCTGATATCCTGGGTGGCTTAAGAAATGATTGATTCTGTTCTCCACTTCTAGCAGCAGCCTTTCAAATCAATTAAAGAAWGTTAGATAAACCATATCCCAGAAACACCATTGTGGAGAACTACTGCCATTGCTACCATAAACAGTCAATATCAAGGCTTTATATTGATGTTAAGATTTTAAAATTGTTAGATACAACAATCCCAGATTCTCTGTTACATCTCATACAGAAAATTCAATGAGCCAAAAATTTGGCACTTCCAAAATTATTCCTCGAATACACTCCAGAGCATGAATACKKRRTGRCTTAAGAAATGATTGATTCTGTTCTCCACTTCTAGCAGCAGCCTTTCAAATCAATTAAAGAATGTTAGATAAACCATATCCCAGAAACACCATTGTGGAGAACTACTGCCATTGCTACCATAAACAGTCAATATCAAGGCTTTATATTGATGTTAAGATTTTAAAATTGTTAGATACAACAATCCCAGATTCTCTGTTACATCTCATACAGAAAATTCAATGAGCCAAAAATTTGGCACTTCCAAAATTATTCCTCGAATACACTCCAGAGCATGAATACTGGGTGGCTTAAGAAATGATTGATTCTGTTCTCCACTTCTAGCAGCAGCCTTTCAAATCAATTAAAGAAWGTTAGATAAACCATATCCCAGAAACACCATTGTGGAGAACTACTGCCATTGCTACCATAAACAGTCAATATCAAGGCTTTATATTGATGTTAAGATTTTAAAATTGTTAGATACAACAATCCCAGATTCTCTGTTACATCTCATACAGAAAATTCAATGAGCCAAAAATTTGGCACTTCCAAAATTATTCCTCGAATACACTCCAGAGCATGAATACGTAATGAGCATGTGCTTAGATTTTACATACCTGTATAGCTCGTTGACGAACAGAAGACTCCTTTGTATATTTATCTGAGCCTTGCAAGCTAATACTTTGCCTCTTGGAAGTTGCTATCTGCTTCACCTGAGATTTTGGGAGAAATAAATAGCAAATTGCTCTGGGAATACCAAAATATTGACCATTAAGGACAGCTATAAATAGTACTTACCCTAGTGCGAGATGCAAGCTCCACCTTCTTTGAAGCTGAAAGGAAAAATCCACACTACTTTGAGAAAAAAAAAATTAACAACAAAAAGACATGTAGAGAGAAAAGCATAAAACATGTAAAACCATTTAATTAAACGTAACCTAGAAATTATCAGCACACCTCAGCAGATATACCCAAGCAAAGAGATGGTGGCAGACTATTTTCTAAATCCTAGATTGAGATGATCCATCTCAATTTTACATTCAAATAATTGATATGATGCATATCAAGCATGTGCAGTTTGCGCATGCAAAAGATCTTGATACTGAAGTCTGACAAAAAGTTAAAACAATTCTACAAATGGGAGAGCACACATAGCAAAATACTCACAGGGAATGCTTCTATTGGCTGGTTCTCTTGATCCTACGTTACTACTAGGAGATGATGTAGTGGACATTCCATTGGATCTTTGGATGGAAGCTCTTATATCTTCAAACAATTCAACCTCAAGGCATTCCAACGTCAAATTGTCACTATCTAATGTGGAAATTGACTCATTAGATCGCCGCATATCTTCTTGAATTGCTGGTAATGGATGTGTTTCAGCCTTCTTGAATCCATCATTTATCATTGACAGCTCCTCAGGATCAAGAACACCTGGGAAATGCTCAGAAATGAACTTTTCATTTAGGATTTTCAATGAAAATAGAAAGATGTTGCTGAACAAGAATACCTGCACTTGTAAAAAAGGCACTGTCCCAGGCTAAACTTTTGCGCAGATTACACTTGCCAAATTTTCTTGTTCTTTCAGGTTCAAAGGATTCAGATAAAGGAGGCGCCAGTTCCCCTTCCTGGGGTAAATCTGCTACATTCTTGTCGTCCTGAGCACATTCAGCTTCATACAGCTCAAGGTTGTCACGCTCCTTTGAACTTTTCAAGAATCCTATCAATTTAAGTCAAGGTACAAATAGTCTTATGTAACTCAGGTACTAAACAAAATAGGATGTCACCAAGAAATTCCTTCTCCAAGAAATATATGATGCAAATATCCTTCCACGCATGACTATACAAATTAAGATGTGACAAAAGAGAAGAAACCATGAAAGAAATATCTAGTTTCTCTAAGTTATTGAACCAATGGCAATTTCCCAATCTTTGGGTGATTCAGGTTTTCGTAAATTTGAGTTTTTAAGAATCATTTTCTACTTTGTTGATGTTGTTGGAAATTGGAATGTAGTTAATTGTCTTAACAGGTAAGCAATGACTACAAACAAGCTATTCAATTTCAGTGAACTTAAAAGTCCAACTTGATGAAAAGTTCTACGAATAAGAACACTGCCTCTTCAACAAGTTGAACATCTTCTACTCCATGACAATTTACGATCAGACCATAATGGGCCAACATCTTGAAAATATGCATATCATAAATCTAATCCTTTTACATCTCATTAGGCAAGTATGCCATTCCCATACTTTGGCTTCCTGAAACACCGGAGGTGTAATGGTATTATCTCAGTCTGGAAAGTGTGAGAACACAGGTGTGAGTCGGAAAGTGGCCACTTTGTATTAAAAAAAGAAAAAGGAAAAAGGTTAGGACCATTTCCAGTCTACCCCTCCAAAGACCACAGATAGCCGGGACTAACATTGGGTAATGGCCTTTTTTCCAGAATAGCACCAAATTAAGTCCACAACTTAAAGCACTGCACAGCTTATTTGCTTTTTACGTAGCTAAAAGAGATGAATAGCTTCAGTCAATTGGGCAGGCTAATCTAAAACGATGAAATGTATTAAGTGAAACAATCAAAACTTGTATTTACTCGTAGGCAAATCCAATGGATACATGGCTACATATTGGTAAACCTAATTCCCATATAAATATAATTCGACACCAGAATGTCCTATTCATTTTTCACCAAAAGTGCCAGTATATCCTAATCGTAAATAGACAGAGACGGGCATCTATTCATTCTATGATAATTGCAACTCGGTGCTGTTAAAGTCTTCCTTTCCCCTCAATTCCTCCAATGAAACCAAAATCTAGAAATGACAAAGCTAAAGAAAAAGGATGAAATTTCCTTTGCATTATAATTAGGTTGCCATAATTGATTTATCACAACGTGAAAGACACTGGTGATGCAGCGGACTGTTTACTATTATGCAATTTAGAACAAATAGAAAACACGATCAAGAAGCACTGCAATTTGAACAAATTATTAAAACGAAAGAGAAGTAACGGTTTTGCCCTTAAAGAAGAGAAATATAACAAAATTATAACCAAATTATATCATCGTCATCATCATCATCTGAAGCAACAACAACAAAGTTTAAGTGTCAGATGAAATAGTAAAACCCTAGAACAATGAAATATAGCATTAAAAATTGATGGGAAGGAAATAGACCAATCTATCAGAACCAAGCATCCAACGCATCTAATAGATCAAGATCAATAAAAAATAAGACTCTCAGATACCAGAAGATTGCAGGTCCGGTAAGCTTCCAGAAGGCGAGGCGATCAGACAATCGTCCTCAGAAGAAACATCGATCAGATTAACCTTATTCATTTCCACGCTGTTTTTCTCCCTTATATCCATAGCAGGTATACGGAAGGAAGAGATATAATTTCTAGGGGAATCGTGTGGAATTCCGGAATAAAAACGATGATCGGCGAAGAACAACGCGTAAAGTCACGGAGAATATAGGAACTTTCAGCTTTGAAGGCGCACTGGTTTCAGCCAAAAAACTATCAAAAGCAATAACTGAGTACCGTGCTAGTAATGTAATGAAGGAGAGCCGGAGAGAGAACCAAATCGATTGCCATTTTCCATTTTTCAAGATGTCTGTGTATTACTATCTTCTTGTATTCTTCTCTTTCCCCAAAAAAATTTAACATTTAAATGAGGACTGACAGCCCAACGGGCGGGAAATTTTGGCTACTTTGTCTATTTTCTATCTTCAATTTCTATTTTCATTCTCTCCTTTTATTTTAGCAAAACACACGAAGTTATTCCTAGGGTCCCGTTTGGGTCTGCTTCTGTATTTGGGTGAGGATCCGTGTTCGGGATAAACTATTTATGTTATAGTCACAATTCTGGTTTTTGGAACGGCCAGGTTGATTTGGTTTCTCTTATTTTCACCAAAGACAAATTTGCAAGTCATGTTTTAGTGTGGAGTCTAATTGAAAACCCCAAAAGCCCTCCTGATGAGGGGTGATTTGGCCCTCCAATGACGTGATGACATGTGGTACCTCAAAACAATCAATTGACACCTCAACATCACGTAAGTAAGCCTCGAAAGTGCCTCGGACACTTTGCAACCACCCTAGTGACCTTGATACTACTTCGGCAGGCCAAACTATGAACGGCCCTGCAAGATGTCAGTTAACGTAAGAGGCGGCCTACTTCGGCCGACCTGACCCAAGTTCGGCTAGTGACATGTCTAATGTGCTAAGCGACCTCTTCTACAAGAAAAGTGTCATCTTCGACTTACAACGCCACGTTGGAAGAGCCGATTACACGGAGTCCACCTCTAGGCATGAAAACCACCTCCAAACCAGATGCATTAGAGATCTCAAACGCACTTCGTGAGCCTCACAACAACTTGCCTATATAAAGGCATCCTCATTCATAGAAAAATGTACGCACGATTTAGCTCTCTCAAAACTCTTCGTTGACTTAAGCATCAGAGTGCCCACCCCGAGTAAAGCATCTTGAACATTCTGATCTCTTTCTTTGCAGCTTAGCTAGGCGACCTACTCAATTCGACATTCGAGCTGTCTACCAACAAGGAGTACCAAATTGTGCACCATCAATTGGCATCATTTATGGTTAGGTTACGCAGAACCCTAACCTCCCTCTACCCACTGTGAATGCACCTCTTCCACTGATCGAGCCCTTCGTGGTTCCCATTAGAGTTGATGGTTGCCAATTCAACGAGCTGGTGCAGTTCCTTCGCAGGATTAACCTACAAATGAGGACATGGGAAGGTTTTTTTGTTGCACTAGTAGGGATGCAACAGCAACAACACCAACGAGATTAGGTCGTTGGGCAAAACCAGAACTAGAACCAGTAGTCTGATGATCAGAATCAAAACCCAGGTCTCGATCGAGGAACTAAGCCAGATCACAACACCGACCGGGACTAGAGCCACCAGCTCGACCAAAGGGTTGTGAAGAAGCCACCGCAAACAAACACGCCTCGCCCCAAATGATAACGAAGATGTGGAAAAGAAAGAAGAGAAGGAAGTCACCTCCTCAACACAACTAGTGTCCTAACTTCACCACTGGTTGTTGAGATCCTAATGGCCCCATGGCCGACAGACTTCAAGGCCCCTAACTTGTAATCATACGACGAGACAACTGACCTGGTCAACCACCTCAACAGCTTTTAGGCCCTAACGTGAGATCCTAATGGCCCCACGGCCAAAAAACTTCAAGGCCCCTAACTTGGAATCATACGACGGAACAACTAACCTGGTTAACCACCTTGACAGTTTTCAGGCCCTGACGCAGCTACATAGGGCAAATGATGCGAGCCTTTGCATGGCCTTCCCGACCACCACAACTCGGATGGGGTATACAGGTATGGTCATGGGCTCTATTAAGAGTTAGAACTAGTTAGTTGACATGTTCCCCATACACTTTGCCACAAAAAAGCGATGCCCGAAGTCCGCAACCTGCCTGCTCAATGTCGTCTAGTGACTTGACGATAAGCTCTGAGACTACATCAAACAGTTCAACCTAGAGCAACTTCAAATTTTCAACCTCGACTCAGCCATCCAGTTCACCGCAGCAGTTTACGATGTCTGGCATCCCGACTTATGTTGGGAGGTCGTGTTGAACCCTCTGGCCTTCATGGAGGAGTTTTTCAACCATCATCATCATCATCATCATCATAATAATAATAATAATAATAATAATAATCATTTTTCTTAAATTAAAATATATAATAATAATTTTGGCCTTCTAATTGATACACAATTGCTATTTGATGTTGTTCATGGATGAAACAGGCATTACCTTAAAAATGCAAGTGTCAGAGGGAGTTGTAATGAGTTCGCACACTAACCTCACAGCACGTTTCAGTCGTGCATCTCAAAGATCACCCATGACAATTACAGAGATGTTCCATATGCACAGTTGAAACATGCTGTAAGGTCGATGTGGGGCGTGCTCTGTGATGAGTAAATATGAACTCAGTTGTAATAAGGCGAAGTCTAATCATTCTACCTATAGTGACTCTCATATGTGATGAAACAAAATATATCTATTGCCAATTTGTATTGATCAATCCAAAATACTTCAACTACAAATAGTCAACTAAGTGGTGGCCCAGTTGGTATGTAAACTAAATTGTCACTTAGAGATGTAGAATAAAGTCCCGCTACACTATCACTGACTTTGGAGGAGATTTATTAGAGTGTTGCTGAAGTTTTGTCCATGCCAAAAGAAAAAATGAATTACGGCTCCCATGGGGGACACTAGCATACGACCAATCAACTGGTAAAATTCACTTGGGGTGGACGTCTCTAATTTAGCCCTAGTATATTGAAAGATGAATGTTTTTACTCCAAAATAACCTATTCATCCTAAAAGATCATGAGGTCTACTAACAAAGAATGATCTTAAAAACTCTGGGTTGTGTGGGATCAAATTTGTAAGAATAAGTTTAATGGTGGATTGGGTGTTAGGAATCCTTATGCTTTTAGCAAAGCATGTTTGGAGGCTTTGCCATGATTCTCAAAGCTTGGGGGTGGACTGGTATTTTGAGAGGAAAAAGAGGTGTTAGAGAAAGGTTTGCTCTAATAAAGTAAACATCAGGAAAGACCTTTGGATTCCAGGCATTGAGGATCTCAAACCAATGGGACTAGCCCCAAGATCTAGGCAAAATCAATGTGTCTCTTCTTTAATAAATAGTAGTTCCATATCTTGGAATGTCCAAGTAGTAAAACATATGTTTCTTGATGAAACAATTGAAGAGATTCTATAGATGAGGATTCCCTTAAATTCTTGGGAGGACAAAGTGACAAACCTATTTGGATTGGATCTAAGTAAGTACAATTAACAGTTAAATAAGCATATTTCTTTGCCTCCCAGGATTTGTGTGACTCAAATCCAGATAGAGGCAGATCTTGTGGGGAAAAAAATCAAACTTTATGTGGAGATGTTGTAACAATAGTCTAGCATGAATGAAAATCTTTACAAGATCTCCGATATGCCTTCGGTGTGAGAAAGAGAATGAATCTGTGATGCATGCTCTATTACTATGTGAAAAAATCAAGTGTGTTTGGTTTGGCTCAAGTTTGGGTCTGTTGGTCGATCTAATTAATCCCTTCCCTATCCTTTATTGATTGGTTTACAATAACTTTCGAATATGCTTTATCTTCTCACTTAGAGAACATTATTAGTTTGCTTGTTGGTTTATGGGAGATATGGAAAGACAGAAATAGAGGTTTATTTGAAAAGTCATCTTCTGTTGGGGAAGATGGGGTCACTGTAACTTTGGAGGAGAAGCTCTGAGGTGCATCTGAAGACACTGTCTTTAGAACGTTATTTGCCCCCACTCAATTTTACTGAGTTTGCTGTTGGGTTACAAGCAAATTTGTTCCCATGATACAACAGAGCCTTTGGGCGAGAATCTGCAACCAGCAAAGTTGAAGAGTCTCCAAAGAAACCTTCTGTGAGACTGTAGCAGACCAGACTGAGAGAGAGAGAGAGAGAGTGAATTTCGAAATTGTGCGTTTTTTGAGTCTGATTCATGCTCCTTAAATAATTTGTGAAGAGGTATGAGGAAAAGGTGGGTACTGGTTTAGAGAAGGCACCTTGAACAGTCACAATGTTTGTGACTGTTTAAAAAGTAATTAACAGTTGGTGATTGTTAACTTTGAATTGTGCCTCTTGATCACACCCGATCGAATCGTGACCGTTGATCTCATCAACGGTGATCAACGGTCATCAAGGCACCAAAACCAGAGCCGCCCATCGCGAGCCACGCAAAGTGCGAGCAAATTGCGCCTCTAAAGCGCCTCATTGCGCCACACACATGCACTCACGCATTGCGCAGTATCGAATCTCCATACTCTCCTCTACTAATTCTAAAGACTGTAAATCAGGTCCTATTGAAATATTGAAAACAAACCTTATAATTATCTAATGTGGGACAAGTTCAAAATTGGGTTTTTTGTAAGAGAAAAACTGATTTTTCAACCAAGTGTGCAGGTGCAATTTCTCATGTAATTGACCATTCAAACCCATTGGATTTAATCTCTTATGAGATTAAAATCCAACATCTTCTAATCCTTTGAATGTAATCAATGCTATGAACAAGTTGACAAGAGAGACATCTCTGCTTTTGCAACAGAAATTGGAAAACCTTCCTTCTGTTTGTTGTTGCCCTCCTAATGAATGTTTTGTGAAGATCAACGTTTATGGAGGCTTTCTAGCTCCCAATAAAGCTTCCTATGGATTTATTGCGAGAGACTCAGTTGGTTTTTGTTGTCGAGCTACCTGCGACTCCTTTTCAACTAACTCTCCCTTATTGATAGAGGCTATGGGCTTGTGGGAGCAGTGAAGACATGTAAGAGGAAGAGTTTATCCCGGGTGATCTTTGAATCTGATTGTCAAAAACTTACTTCTTACTTCAACAACTCCTCGTCTTTTTGCCCAGCAGATATGGTATTTCTTAAAGAAGATTTAGTGAACCTTTGTGAAGGTCTGGAAGTTAAATTCTTGTGGTGTCCTCGAAGTGTGAATGCTGCTGCCCATGAGCTAGCAAAGCTAGGTGCTCGTTCAATGTTGTGGCTGGAAGGAGATTTTCCAGTGTGGCTTTTGTCTAGTATTTAGTAGTTCTCTTCGTTGTTTAGCTATTGTTGTTGCTTTTTCTTTTGTTTCGTAGTAGTTTGTTTTTTCTGTTTTATTGCTCTCAA